GTTGGACAGCAAGGAGAGAATCCGTCAGGAGTCACTGCCCTGCAGCATTAGCAAACAGTCCTTCCCCCTCTTCAGTTTGCAAGGAACACCAATCCTCCCTGCTGGCAGCTCCTCCCCAGCCCACAGATACACCCTTGCACAGAGTTTTAAACAGCAGCAGATGGGGGGGGAGTTCCTCTCCCCACGCACTTTTCCTTTGGCATCTCCTGAATGCTCTCATTAAGACACTAAGCTTGAAGAGTGCTGTTTTATTAGTTACTCCTCAACAATATGTTATGAAATTATTAGTTAAAAAACGGAGCAAGACAATCTCCTGAGCTCCTTGGTCCAGGTCACAGAGTAACAGCTTTGTTTTAAGGCCATTTGACCTCACCTAAACAAATAAATCTGCTGCCTCATTAGGGCTCCCAGTCTGCATGAAGCAGCAGGAAGCTAACATATTTTTCTCTTTATTATACCTCAGCTGCAGTCTCACTACATGAATCAGAAACTTTAGATCTTCAACCAAGATTTGGGTCAATCCACTGTTTTCTTAAAATCAGTATCGGTTTATATAAGCAGAAATCACTGGACACTTGTCTGTGGTAATACTTTCTCTCTTGAGTAAATTTCAGACTGAATTTTAACTTATTGAATCCAAATTATGCATCTTGACTTCTTTCAGGTTCTTGGAGACCCTCTGAATGGCAACTAAGGATCAAGGATCACAGAAAATGGTTTCTAATAAAAAAAGGGAATGTTTTATTGATCTACCTTCCTTCTCTAGAATGCTTCTTTCATTATTAAAAAAACCCCTATCTTAGAAAAGTACTTAAAAATCACATATTTTACACTTATAAATTTCATCAACTCTTAGAAAAATAGATCTCTGGTCTACTCTAAGAAATCTCATCTGATGTTCATACACCATTTCAAACACTGTCCACTGTAAAATACATTAAATTACTGGCCAAAATTATAACAAACCTGGACAGCAGCTGAAGTGTGCTACAGTCCCAGTATGAGATTCAATGCTCCTAAATGCAGCTGCTTTATTCTTAGACAGACAGTTCAGATGTATTTTTTTTTCCCCATGTATATATTTAGGAAAACCAGAATGATAAAAAAAATCTAAATGGGGTCACTCAGTGTCTCCTGAACAGAGCCCTGAAAAGACCAAGGGGCTGCTGGTGGCACAACTGCAAAACTTCACAAACCCACTGCTTCAGCTGTCAAAGCTTTACAGCCACACTGATGCAGGTGAGAAAACACATTATGACTTGACATAACTGATCAATATGCAGATTAATTTCAACTTCAATAAGTAAAGAGCAGGGAGAAGAAAAATCAAAGAGCTATAATAAAACTTATATGAGAGGAAAATGAAATAAAATTACTATCATAAGGAGGTCAGGGGAGGACAAGAGACAGACAAATAGGCAGAGAGATAAAGTGTGTTTGAGAGAGACAGAGAAGGCAAGGCCAGTTGAACAGTGAAGCATCTGAGCATGGGAAGGAAGTTGGGTTTGATCCAGGCAAAGACTGGAAGGCTCTAAGAGGTACTGAGCATAAGCCAGAACCCCCAGATGCTTCTCTGCTAGCTAATGAAACATAAAAATAAACAAGTCCCAAAGATCAGGTAGTATTTCAACTCATGCTAAGTCTTTACTTAGAGTACTGTCTTCTCCTATCACATCAGTGTGGCAGTGAATGGCAAGAATATGGTGGAGAGAGAAGAAATACATCATGCTACCTATGTGAAATATATCATGCTATCTATATGAAATACAGCCTGCTACCTATGCAAAATACACTTCTTTATCTATGTGAAAAACAGCATGTTACCTGTGTGAAATACAGCGCATTACCTATATGAAATACAGCATGTTACCTATGTGAAATACAGCCTGCTACCTTTGTGCAGCACATCAACAAGGGGCTCATCCTCTGGTGCCACACAATTTCCCCTCTTACACATAGTACCTTGTAGGAGACTGTCTCACCAAATGCATCCCAGAGCTCAATAACCAACTGTGCAGGAGGAAGAGTGTGTTTGGAGTTTTCCCTGGGAACAGATGGCCTTAAAGGCAAAGGCCCAGGAAGGCTGTTCTGTCAGGGGTGGCTCTGGAGGAGAGACTCTCCAACGAGGAGGGGACAGCTTGCTGCAGAAGCCAGCCAGAAGGCCCTGGTGGGTGACAGGACTGGTAGCAGCATTCACCTCTCCTCCAATGGTGAGGGGCTGTCGAGTCCCAGCCCCACTCAGGTCTGTCCATGACTTCTCCCCTTTTCCTCAGTAACACAAATCCAATTACACATACTTGCAAACCCATCTCCAGGCAACTGTGCACCACTGAATTCTGCACCTTCACCTCCAGCTCTGAGCCAAATGCTCATGGGCACGAGCAAGTGAAACCTGGAATAGCTCCTCTTGCTGCTCACACTTGGTCCACAAGGGCCATTGGAAAAAGCATTTTTATGATTCATGTGCATGAACTGAATAACATTTTTGAAAGACTGACTCCCAGGTTACACAGGTATGACTCAGTTCACCCAGATATATCTGCATGTAACTCTGGCTTCAGCAACACTATCTTGAGCTTTGCTGCTAATGCTTATAAACATCACAGTACAGGACATGTCTAGAGGGAATCGAGCAATTTGGGTTCCAGTTATGCCACCTCTCTGCCATTGTTTCAGTTTTTCTTTTCCAGCTTGGCATATAGCATCCAAAACCTGCTTCCAAAAAAGTATTTCCCATAAAATTATAAAACCCCACTATTTTCGCATAGGGATCAAACAATAAAGAGAAGTCAGTTTTGCAATGTTGTTTATCTTCTTTCCCCAAATCTATTCTTGCTCCTTTGAAGCATCCAGAAGCACAGGTTTTGAACTGGAATGCTCTAATGAAGCCCATTTCACAGTGAAGGAAAAGCTGAGTTTCCTTTTCCTGTGATGATATTCCCACTGCCATAAAAACACAGGTGCTTAAGATTCTGAGCCTGTACTCAAACAGAGCTACTGTTCACTACTTTCTATTTCAGCTCTTCATAACTGTGATGCAAAGGTGGCTCTCACTGCCAGCTCCAGGCTAGTTACAGTGATTCATACAAGCTTAACTTCTATAAAATTCCTTTGCAGAAGGACAAGTTCAGTTCACTATTCACCATCTGTCCTAGTTTGACTTTATAGTCAAACATTAACAAATTATGCTGTAAAATTAGGAATAAGAACTGTAATAAGGAAAAGGGAAGATTTATATGCTCTTTAAACTAGCTGTCCATGTAGGTTTTGTTGAACTAGCATGTACTAAGCTGAGTTCTCGGCTAAAGCCTCCACTAAAATGAGTTCTTCAAATGAATTTCTTTTTCAGTACATTTAATTTCATTTCCCAAATGAGAGTTACACGGATACAGTTGATGTACTGTCTCACTGAAAACTTCTTTCCTTGAATTTTCATTATTTTATATATTTTTAAAAGCAGGCAAATCTTGAGAGCACCCTTATATGCTTTTGATCCAATAGGCAACTGTTAAAATCCTTGTCCCTTTTGGAAGTCACAGTCTGCACAGAAAACCCCATTTAAATGGGTTCTGTTCACGTTACATTTCTCATTCAGCAATTATTATCTCTTCTCCTGATTTAAACAACTCATTTTCCCTCATTCACCATGTCATAAATCCAAATAGCTGAACCCATGCCCCATCTAAAACTTCATTTCTTAAGGGAAAAAAAAAGCTGTGGTTACCTCTTTGGTAAAATTAGCTTCTCCTAATAGCTTAATTCATTTATCCATTTCTTTTATCCTTTCTCTCCCAAGACTGTTAACATTTCTAAACTTATTTTAAACTTATTTTAAACTTTTGATGTAACTTATAAGATATTCTGGGCATCATCTCCACAACTGCATAGAAGCTGCTCAGCACTCTTGAATATCATGTCTCAAAGACCACTCGCGTGCAACTTCGTTTTCCATGTGCCCATAACACTTCTGCACACCTGGGCACGAATATACTGTAGTTAAGCAGGGTCTTCTCCAAGTAAAATCCTTTTTCTCTTTCTTTGTCACATGTAAATGAAACTACAGAAAAAAGGCATTCCTAAAAACATTTCTAGCACAAGCAATTCTACTGTATTTCCATCAGCCAACCCACGTACCAATCGGATGGAGCTTCAGGGCTGTGAGAGAGAAAGAACTCAACAGCACAAGATTCAGTCTGTCAAGGTTAGAACTCACATCAGCTTCATGACAAGCTCCCTGTGTTCCACTGGGCCTACAAAATTACCCCCAAACTTATGTCTGGTATCTTTTTTCACGTCATACCCACTGCCATAGCTCTCCTCCACCAGTTCCTTCCTATCAACCCAATTCAGACGTTTCTTTTCTCCAATTGTTCTACTTTTCCCTTTCTTTGTTTTTCTTCTTATTTTAGGAAAATCTACTTGTATCACACAAGAGCCAAGTGCAGTTCTAGAGATTTGATGAATAGGCCCAACACACAGACACATGGTTTGTGAGTTGCCATGTATCATCTGCCTCATTTATCAGTGTGGAAACTTGCAGGACAGCAAAGTGCATTGGCTTCCTAAGAGTCCTGTTTTAGTCTCCAGGATAAAATCTGTTCCTCATGTTCTATTGTCCAATCATTTGTCAACACACTCAGATTTGCATTTTCTATTTCCTTTCTTTCTTATTCCAGTCAGCTGTAAGGCTCTTCCCTTGAGAAACACCAGATTATCCACACTTAATTGATTTCTTATGTTGATATCATTGGCAATGTTAAAGTAGAAAAAAAAATAATGTGAGAAGTGAAATGTTAACTGAAATCCAATAATTCTTATAAAGTTGAAAAAAAAACCCCCAACAACTTGATCTGCTCCCATACATTTTAGCAGTGATAAAACCAGGATTGCTACAGGATGGCACTGGAACACAACACGGTCGTTTTCCACTCGATGTTTTTCATGTGAATAGCGACATAAACCCACCAGCTGACAGAGAAACGAGTAATTGGGGCCATTACCAGAGCAGACAAAGTCCTTCTTCTGCACCTCTGCCACCAGGAAGCCCCTGAGGCTGACGGGGGCCAGGCAGAAGGTGAACTGGCCGATGGTGCGGCGCTGCCGCAGCCAGTCCGACAGCCAGGCCAGGTGACAGTCACAGTGCAGGAAGTTGGAGTGGAGCCGCCTGCAAAAGACACAAAAACCTGCAGTTATTGGTAGGTTTTTTTAAAACATAAGCCACAAATAGTGCAATCAAGTACAAGTCTGCCAGACTCTACACTGCAGCTTCAGTAGGGTCGTTGTAGGTTCTTGCTTGCAGCTGAGTCAGGGCTTGACTGTCCACGCTGCCACGTAACACACCCCAGGGAATGGCCTGAAGTTGTGCCAGGGGAGGTTTAGGTTGGATATTAGAAAAAAGTTCTTCCCCCAGAGGGTGGTTGGGCACTGAACAGGCTCCTCAGGGCAGTGGGCACAGCACCAAGGCTGACAGAGCTCCAGGAGCATTTGGATGATACTCTAAAGGCACATGGGGTGACTCTTGGGGATGGTCCTGTGCAGGGCCAGGAGCTGGACTGGATGATCCTTGTGGGTCCCTTCCAGCTCGGCATATTCTGTGATGCTGTGACACAAAGGCCACATATAAATTAGTGCTATTAGTTATAATGTCTTGGAAAAATGAAGTTCAATAATGACCCATCTACAGCTGGGAATTCTAGAGACAAGAACATGCAGAATTTAAGATTGTGACAAGTAATCACTTTGCCTGTGATTTTATATCACAAAGAATTGCATGAATGTGATATCTCTGAGTCAATTCAAAGAGAGGCTTGTCTAAACATGAGGACCAGGCTGAAAAACAGGATGATGGGTGATTCTTCCCTCTTCTCCCTCCTTTGAGGAGATGGAAAAAGAGGGAAGAGAGAACCCCTCCACATCAGAGTCTATTGACACCTTTATATTGCTGTGTTGCCTGTACGAACTCATCAATGCTCTTTTTACTGCAAATGTGCAGGACCTAGACAGGAATTTTTAACTCATGTAGGATCTATCCATGCAGCTCCCTGTCCAGCCTGCTCCATGCCTGGCACCAGGGATTTGCAGAAGCATTATCACACTGTGGGGAGAAGTCTGCAAAACCATGATGTGTTCAGGGAGCAAATCTGGCAATTTTAATAGCTACCAAACTTAAGGTCAAAACAAAAGCCCAGGACACTAATTATTTCATTCCCGTAATGAGTCATAGATTTGCAGTGTTACCCCAAATGAAATGATAAACCAGATTGAAAATCCTGTCAGAAACAGTTAGACAAAGCATTATTCACTAATATTGCAGGCACAGAATTGGTGTGCACCGGATTTAGCCTTGTCCATCCTCCAAATAAATTAACTGTCTGCCTGGGAGCTGTTTGTACTGCACAGCAGCAGCACAGCTCAGCAGTGGCGCCCGGGCTGACAGTCCCCAGATTTGTATGTCTGGGGTGGGCAGCCATGGTAAAAAATACCCCACAAATCTGGAACTGAGAGTTTCTCCTGCAGAGATGGAAGGCACTGCTCTCCTGGGAGCACTGTAACATGTAATTGTTCTAGAAGGATGGTTACGAGACCTTCACGAGTTTAGGGCTCATGAAGCTATTTAAGTGAAGCTGCAGTAAGTTAGATTTCTAGTAAAATGTTTTCTTATTATGAACTATTAACCTGCCTTTTTGTTGAAGGAAAGAATAAATAAATAAATACATAAATATCATTTAGCCAGAAATAACCCTTAGTAAGACTTTGTTCTAACTTAAGAGAGTCAGCATTTCATTCAAATCCTCAAGGTCTCATCCTTCCCACAGCAGTCAACAATGAGACTTAGGATCATCTTCCTTCAGGAACTGGAACTGAGTTCATCCCATGCCATTCCCTGCATCCCCTGCACAGGAATGTAAGGCAGGCAGGAGTAATAAATTTCACAAAAAGGGGCAGTTTTCCAATTCTGTGAGTTGCTTTTCCCCCCCTCACTAAATTGATAAAGCTGGACCCTGGGGCTTCCTGTTTCAGCAGAGCAAACCACCACTGCTTTGCCTCAGCAGAGCCCTTCTTTTAATTGCTCAAGTTTTTTTTACACGGATACTATTTTCTTTGAGAAGAGACCACTTAGAGAGCCTATCAGTCTTTACAAAGCAGCCCATTAGAATATATTTTTGATAATTATATTAATGAATACAGCCACAAAAAGACTTCTCACAGTACTTCAAAAGCATTATACACCAATTCCCTGTGAACATGAAAGGCACTGAAGTGATTTTGCACATTTTCAGTTTACCCTCAAATAAAAAAATTAGAAGAAATTATGCAATTACCTGTCTCAGCAGTCACTCTCACATGCAGAGACAACAGTACACTTACCATTAAGCAAACAGATACAGGGGACATGCTTTACCATAAATAAAGCTGTTTCAAGCAAAGGAAAGCAGATCAATAAAAACTAATTCCTGTCACTTCCAATCAAGGCTAAAAGATCAATGAAACTTAACAGCAGAAAAGACAGTTAAATAAAAAAGGTTAGCACAGAAGAGCTGATTTTAGTAAGGAGTTTTTCAAGTGCTTCAAAATTTCTTGGCACTTCTCTCATTTTTTTCATTCTTTCCCCTCAGAGGTCATGTTGAAGGTGAATATACCTTTTATTTTTCCTTCTGTGTTCTAAAATGAGCAGATTGTTTTGAGAGCCATGAAGAAAAAGCCATTTATCCACAGAACCATCACAGCAGATGTAGCTGCTGCAGAAGGAGCCTCAAATGTCCTGCTAATGGATCTCACTAGAGTGTAAAAGAGACACACAGGGAAAATATCCACAGTGCACTGGGCCTCAGCTGATGGGATAAAGGGCTTGTCCCTACTTAAGTACATTCAGACCAGGGATTTCCTACAAGGAAAAAAAAAAAGCACACCTAAGTGTGAAGCTCTCTGAGAAGGTGTACAGATTGATGATCGTTCTTGGAGAAAACAGTAGAGTCATCAAACTGTAACAGCATCATTCAATATCCATTTGGATTGAATTTGCATCAACAGCCAACAGATTAAATGGTAAATTTATTTCAGCTGTTACACCTCAGACAGCTTTCTCCTTCCGTGCAGACTCTTCACTGAGGTTGTATATTAATGCAGGAGAAACAGGCTGTCAAGTGTGCTAAAGCTCAGGAAACTAGAGACAATATTAATGTTAACATTTCCGCCCCAAAAATATCCTTATGTAAATGTTTTGCATAGGTGAACAAAACCTGATCAGTTTAATATGTGCTCAGCTATATGTTAGTGGTTAGGGCAGTGCTACCCATGGACACAAAATCTGGTTAAATCAAAATGGTATTAACCTCAACAGGTGACAGCCTGAACAGAAGATATTCAGAGAATATTAAGTAATATGTACTAATGAAAGATTGTTTTGATGATAACTATAATTGATAAAGCATTAATTGTGAAAAGTGCTAAGATGACTTGGGGTAGAGGAAGAATTTTTAATACATAGGAGCAGCAGAAAAAATTATGAAATGCTATTTGATTCTGGTATTTATCTTCTATTAATTGCTATTTTGGTGACTTTTCTGCCTCTGTTGAAACATATGGAATGGAAGACTGAAAACCAAAACATTTTACTATATTTCCAGCTGTTTATATAGGACTTTTCAATTCCTATATTGATCTGCTAAGGGTACTGTGTGTTATTTGGCAATCTTTGGAGACTGAAACATGTCCCTTGATATTGATGAAACTACCTTTAAAGAACATAAGGTGAAGGAATACAAATGCAAGTTTGCTAAAATTGCCCTTTTAGCCATAGACCCTAAATTAAATTTCCAGCAAATCCTTTTAGAGTGGGTCAGCATTCATGTTCTATAAAACGTGGCTCTCAGAATTCAATACAAAAGCTTCCCTTTATAAATCCTATTTATGACTTCCTTCCCTTTTTTTTTTTCTCTTTTCTTTTCTTTTTTTTTCCCCTTAATTACAGCAGAGGGGGATTAGTCAGTGTAAGTCTCCAGGGAGCTATAGACAAAGCCATCTCTGAAATTAAACTAAAAGGAAAATGGCAGAAGGCACCGAGCTGTGCTAACAGACAAGGGTGGCTAATCTGGAAAAGCCAGGCAAATTTTCTGGAGCACTGTGACTGAATAAGAAAAGGCAAAACTCCAGGAACCTTAACTCTACACCTTTATCTTCTTCATCCCTTCCCTTCTAAAAGACAAACATTTCCATTTAAATACATACATTAAGATCTAATAATGCCATCATTTAATGAAGAATGTAAATTTAAGTCAGAGGTTATCTGACACAGATTGACACAAGCAAGAACCATTTTTCTTCAGTTCTGTTAATTTATTTAATATGATTTTACAAAGGCACATGCAGCATCCTTGAAGGATTTCATTTTTTCAGTGGCACAGAAAATTTTCAGGCTAGCTACTATTTGCCTTTCTTTGCCTTTAGAACTAAATACATCTTGGTTGAGTTTGAGATTTTGGAGGAAAAACAGATGTTTTGTTTAAACATGACTTTTCCTGAAGCTGTATCTTGCCTAAAGCAATTTAAAGGAATAAGGTACTTAAAGAATATGTTTTTGGTAGGCTATGGCTAAATTATACAAATGGTCAGTCTAATTTCACATCTTTGTATTTTGGACTACTAGAGATCAAAGCTTTTCCAGTGCAATGGCGTCCTGCTACAAAAAGACAGCTTTGATGTAAGAGAAGCTTTTATAAAAAAATGCATCAGAATCAGTGACATTTTGTTTCAGATAGTATCTGGGAAAGACACTTTTTCAAGTTCTTTAAAAATGCCCTGTTTCACCAATTAGTATTCTGAATTTGAAAAGAATAACTAGGACTGAAACACAGGATATTAACCAAATTCAATAATTTGATCCATCTGAGCAGTTTTTATGATCTTCATGATGTTCCAGCTTGGAAAACATTTCACATTATGGACTTTCCCATGGGGAAAAAAAATGCCAGTTTCATTTCTGGGTAAATTCAAATTCTTGATAAAACTGGATGTTAATTCTGGGTAAATCCAGTACAGTGCCTGTCAGGGCCCTGAGGGCACCAGGCACCTTCACACCCCTGCCTGGGTTCCCCAGCTCTGCAGTCACCCAGGCCTCCAAGGCAGCCTGAGAGACTGAAATGAGATTATCACAGACAACAAACAGGCAAAGAGTTGTTTTACACCATCATTATGTTATAATATTAGAGGATATTACTCACAGAGTCCTGATCTTTGGCATGTGATTGAAACTGGTAACAGGAATGCGGGTGATGTTGTTGTTGTTGAGGGTACTGTCAGGAGAAAAAAAAATAGAGAGAAAAGAGAATAATAGATTGGTCAGTTATTTACATTTCTTCACCAACACACTATTTACAGAAACAAACTGATAAAATCCTTGCTAATAAATCTGCCCGGCTGTGAGCAGCAAGACACACTCCTCGATACCTCTGACAATTTGTGACATACCATGAAAGATGATATTAGGGGGAAAACAACCAACAGTAGCATGAGAATGGCTCAAGGTTAGTGTTTACCATGGTGGAGTAACCAGGAGTGCAGGAGATGAGTTTTTATTGACTACTGGAACATACTCAGCCTTGTGGGTTCAGCTGCCACTTAGTTTGAAAACCTGGTGCAACTTGAGTGGAGGGACATCAGACCGGGACCCAGCAGTGTGAAAGCTCTGCACTTACAGGGCTCATCTCACAAAAAGAGAGCTGTTGGCTCTCACAGCCTTGTTAACACAGCCTGCTGACATGGACAGACAGCTCAAATTGCTCTTTGGAAACAAAAGGACGGATGGGCTCCCTTATGAAAAAATATATGGGTAGTGGAACGGGCTGCAATAAAACATGTCATGACCCAGGCGTGTAAGGATTGCTGCTGCTCTATCAAAGCTGAGCCTAAAGAGAAAATAATCTCACTGCTGGGAGGGACCCTCTTAGAGCTTCTTATGGAAAATGAACTGGCTCGATTGCCATCAGCTGAGTGTGCTGCTCCCATTTACGGGACTCCTAATTATATCAATGACTCTCTAGCAAATTAGAAGCTATAAAGTTTATCAAGATGGCACAGGAAATGGAAAGCACTCCAACGAGGGCGTAATTGCCATGCTGCAAGTGCACCAAAGCTGGAAATGCTGCAGGCTGGTTTGTCGTGAGAATGGATGGATCTGGTGGCGACTCCGTGTCCCAGCGTGGCCAGTCCTGCCACTGCCTATTTGAAACATGTGGTGCTCACAGCACCAAGGCATGGAGCAACCTCTGCTTTCTACAAGGGGCACAGCACTCCACAGGGTCACCTTGATAGAAGACACCATGTTTATGGTGTATGTTTATGTATGCGCTGAAGAAAATACCTGCTGAAGCAACATAAAGGCATGTTCTCCTTCCCTGGACTGTTTAGTTGTTCCAATGACATATATTTACATAGGATGTTTAATCAGAAACTCTAGAAGAGTATTACAGAAGTTAACCAGCCCTCTTGGTCATCTGCCAATTTAAAAACATTTTACAGTTCTGCCTAGAAATCCCCTGGCAAAGCCATCATCTACATCAGCAGATTAAAGCTAATTAGATTATATCCTATTAAGGCTGGTTTTTGGGTACACAGGAAGACACATGGGCATACTGGCAAAGCCAGGAGGTTGCAGGGTAACACAGCTCTGCACAGGCAGCTCAGGATAGGGGTGTGAGCAGCTCTGACACTGACAGCACTGTGGTTGTGCTGCTGCTGCACTGCATCCCAGCAGGAAAGCACTCAACCACTTTGTTAGCAGGATCATAGCTGGTATTCCAGATGGATACACTGGCAATCTGGAGCCAGCATGGGGGCTGACATACCCATGACAGCAAACTGCATCAACAGAGCAAAATTCCCCTTCCTTTCCAAATCTGTGAGCACAGGGAGTTATGTCAGTAGAAGCAGAGTCTTGAAAATCTGGGATCTGCATGTGAGATCTGCTGCCAGAGATCTGTGTCAGTCGAGTCCCACACATTCACACACCAGGCTGATAAGAGCTGCAGGTCTTAGCATAACAAGGCTTATAGTATAATATGTAGTATTCATTCCAGATCCTCTGGAAAACTGAGGCTATCAGAAATCAGACAAGAAACGCGTAGATAAGCATTGGGATCACTGGGTGCACAAACCACTGGCTTTGTGCGTTCAGTTCCTCAACATGCAAGGAGTCAAACACAGCCTGTTATAAATGTACTGGACAAGATGAAGAGGGAAACACTGTCAACTTGAGCAGTAAAGCAGCAAGGAAGCTCTCACATCCATCAGCCCTGTCCCTGGCAGCTGTGCATCCCAGCCTGCCCTTCTCTGCCGTGCTGTGGCTGCAGTGCTGGCAGTGACACACACAGCACCAGTGCACATCTGCAGGGCTGGAAGCTCTGCCTCTGAATTCCTGCTCATCTCATCATGACAACACACGTTGTGGCAGATTTTACAATGCAAAATGAAACTGTGTCATACCCTTGCTACTGCTCAACTGCCTTATTTACCCAGTGATGCAACCACAGTCCTGTGTGGCCAGGGGGCCAAAACAAGCCTGTACAACAATTTCAGAAAGTGAACAAACCCATTAAGAGTGCATAAATATTTACATCAACACACCCACCCCTCTGTATTCGTATTTATTTGCTTTTTGGGAAGTTCAAATAGGGCTCACAAATGGAATTTATAATTGCACCACCATTTCTTTTTCCTGTAAACATAAAAATATAATTCTGAGGCAAACCTGCCTCGGTTGCCTGTTACATTAAAACAAGCTACGAAGTCAGATGGAAGAACTTAGGTATAGAGTGATAAATAAAAGCCACATGTAAAGTCAGCTCACAAAAATCAAATTGCATCCATAGCTGATGTCTGAATAGGTCACACGTGGTGCTACAGAAGTCAGTGGAGGTTGTAGGAATTCAAGAGAGATTTTCTATTGGTTTCAAAGGGACGTGGGTTGGATTCAGGCAGAATAGGCTGTGACAGTGAGCTTCCTTCTGCAGAGAACACAGGCCTGACTCCCAGTGCAATTCTTCTTGTGGATGCAAAAAGGTCACCCTTTACTGTCTGACTCGATGATCCAAAAGTATTTCAAAAATTTTTAAAATATTCTATTTAGCAGCCAGAGCATTATTCCAATCACGTGGTATTTCTGCTCACAGGACATCAAATGAGAGTGGCTCAGGTTTTGCAGACGTTTCAAATATTTGCTTATTTTTAAATAAGCAATGGTTTCCCATAAGTCATCAACAAATACATAACCCTCCTTCTAAGAATCCTAAGTCACTGCTGAATTAATATACTCTTTAAACACAAATTTCAGGGATAACTCCAGCAGACAGCTATTGCACAGATGACTTAGTAGCATACTATTTCATTGATATTTAAATGTTAACCATAATGAAGGCAATAAAACATCTATGATAACAGCAATTATTTCAGAACAAAGGAGGCCAAACACTGCAAAGGGCACTAATTGCCAGTGAACTGCCTGCACTACAGCCCAGCTGGAGCTGCAGGAATTTACCCCTGCAGAGCACGCAGCTCCCATGCAGTGGGAACTCCTTGGCTCTGGAATGGGAACATGCTCAGGAGAGGTGTGCTCCAGAGATATTCTGCAAAGCTTTCCATCTTGCCTTCCCAGCTAGGATTTTTTAAGGGATGTGTCCCATTAATGGTGAGTACACAATACAGCAGCATTTTAGCACATGAAGGGAAAAATAAATTGTGCTCCAGTCATCTGCCAGCTGCTCCAAGACCCAGCCTCATCTCGATCCACCTAAGATTCAGATCCACAGAAATAGGTTCACAAACACCAGGGAGCTGGGAGAAGTAGAAAACTTCCAGAATCTTCTGACTCCTCCAACATCATGTGGAGAAAATTATATTCTGCTGAGTTCTTGCCAGCCTTATACCTCCCACCTCTTCCAGAACCCTTGTCCCTTGAAAAAGCACTGTCCTCTCATTTAGAAGTCCTCTCCCTGTAAACTATTCACATCCAAAACGCTGAATCAGGAAACTGAGGTTATAGACAATATTATTTATGCCAGCCAACTTCCCACCTTGGGCCGTGATCCTTGTCAGATCCTGCAAGCTCAGCAGGAGCAGGACTGCAGCAGAGCTGAGGATCCTCCAAGGACTACTTGGGAGATGCATAACGTGAGATCAGCAACCTCTGAGGTGGTACCTCCTCCACCACTGTGAAGTGTCACAGTCCCACTGACTCCAATTTACAGCCCCAGAGGAGCTGCTCTCCTTACTCACTCCTCTGCCAGTTGTCCAAACTGGTTAGAGCCACGTGTGGAGCTGCTTTCCTCCTTCTGAAGAATAAAGCTGATTTATAGCCCCTACTAATCAGAACTTCTCTAAAGGAAAGAATGCTCAGTCTGCAATCCTGTCATGATTTGAAAACAATTACTTATCCTCAAACTTTTGGTGCACATTTTTCTTCTGTTCTGGCTTGCTCCAAATTCATATACACCACTGTATTTCCCTGACAAAGAGGTCTTAATTACAGACTCAATGTAATGACAGTAAAATCATTAACATGTAGAAATGACTGTCATGTCTGTGGTTTTTTAGATAATATTTATGCATTATTCTTCACATCTTTCTCCACTCTCTGGTATAGGTATACAAGTATTCAAGACTAGGTGAGAGTCAGAAAAAAATTATACTCCTAATGCTAGAAGCAATCATAAATTTTTATGGAAGAGAATTTGGGGGGAAAAGGTATAAATATATAAATTTTGAACCCTTCTAATATTACAGTATTTTACTTTAAAAACTTAATACTTTTAAAATAAAGTATTTTATTTTAAAAACTCACAAACTCTAAATATCCTTTCATGTCCCTTGGACTAATTCTGAGGTCAGTGGTCAAACACCGTCAATTCTGTAAATCACCGAGTACACAGAGATTTTGCTTCTATTACTTGGACTTCAATCAATGTGATTAAGAGCATACAATAAATACCAGAATGTCTGTCAACTTTTTCATCTGAAATACTACTTTCAGTACAATATATCTACGTGTTCTATCCCAGTTTAGTAGACATGAACCAAAAGGATATTTTGGCAAGGATGTCAGAAGACGTTACACAACGTAACAGAATTATCTAAAATAATCACTATTCTCTAAAATAGTGACTGTCTTATTGTTTCCCAGACACACTTCAAGTGGGAAAATCTATGGGAGGGTTGGGTTTTTTGTTAAATACACCACACTGTTTGATGACAAAACCACTTCGTACACCCCACCTTAAAAATAGTTCTGGTATCCTAGTTT